TAATCATATTGAACCCTTACTTTCTAACTTAATTTCTCACACACGCTCTCTAACATAAACCTATTATGTTCCCTTTCAATACTTTCTAACTTGATTCTACCTTAACCCCCCCCCCATCATACTCTCCAACTTAATTCCACCTAAATTTCCCTTCCTTATACTTTCCAATCTATTTCTACCTTAATAATCTCCCTCAAACTTAACCCTAACTTAATTTCCCCCTTCTTCATACTCTCCAACATAAGACCACGTACCATATTTCGAAGAATTTACCTTAAAACCCTTAAGTTGCTCGAAGACTTTACCTTAAAAACGCTTAAATTGCTCGACGACTTACCTTAAAACCCTTAAGTTGCCCGAAGAATTTACCTTAAAAACCCTTAAGTTATTCGAAGACTTTACCTTAAAAACCCTCAAGTTGCTCAAAGACTTTACCCTAAAAACCCTTAAATTATTCGACGACTTACCTTAAAACCCTTAAGTTATTCGAACACTTTACCCTAAAAACCTTTAAGTTGCTCGACAACTTACCTTAAAAACCCTTAAGTTCCTCGAAAACTTTACCTTAAAAACCCTTAAATTATTCGACGAGCTTACCTTAAAAACCCTCAAGTTGCTCGAAGACTTTACCCTAAAAACCCTTAAATTATTCGACGAGCTTACCTTAAAAACCCTTAACTTGCTCGAAGACTTTACCCTAAAAACCCTTAAATTATTCACGACTTACCTTAAAACCCTTAAGTTGCTCTACGGTGCAGGGGAGAAGAGCATCGCGTCCCACAGTTACCGTGATATTTGGCACGGTCTCAATAAACTTGGGCAGAAAATCTTCACCAAAAGCTGTTGGGGGAGAGAAGGGAGATAAAAATGGATTCTCGAGTAAAAAAAGGGGGGAAAATGGTTAGAAAAAGGGAAATAGAAGAAGAAGAAGAGGAAAAAGAAGAAGAAAAAGGAGAAGGAGAAGAAGAAGATAAAGAAAAAGATGAAGGAGAAGAAGAAAAAGAAGAAAAAGAAAAAGATGAAGAAGAAGAAAAAGAAGAAGAAGAAAAAGAAGAAGAAGAAGAAAAAGAAGAAGAAGAAAAAGAAGAAGAAAAAGAAGAAGGAAAAGAAGAAAAAGAAGAAGGAAAAGAAGAAAAAGAAGAAGAAGAAGAAAAAGAAGAAGAAGAAGAAGGAAAAAGAAGATGAAGAAGAAAAAAGTTAAGGGAGAGGAAAGGGGGAAAGATAAAGAAATAATTCCCTAAAAAAGGGGGTAAAAATATCCTTTGAAAAAGAATAATAATAATAATAAGAAGAAATAGGATTATTAGGGAGAGAAAAGAAAAAGAAAAAGAAAAAAATCTCTAAGAAAGAAAAGGTATTTGCTGCTATGGCAGAGAAATGAGAAAAATATTCTCTGAAAACGAAAAAAATAATATTCTCAATACACTAGGGAATAGAATAGGAAAAAAAATATTGTTATCTCTTTAAAAAAGGTAAAAAAGAAAAGAAAAGAAAACGAAGCTATTAAGGAAGAGACACCAAAAAAGAGAGAAAAAAAATAAGGGAGAGAAATGGAAAAAAAAGACAAAAAAATATTTAAAAATGAATGAAGGGAAGCTGTTAAGGGAAAGAAATTTAGCAAAAATAGACGAAATGAAATGAAATAAAACTAAATAAAACGCAAAAAGGACAAGAGGACAGCACCGTTGAGTGAGATTTTTTTGTTTTGTTATCATTATTTCTTTATTATTATTATCATTATTATTATTATTATTATTATTATTACTATTATTATCATTATTATTATTATTATTATTATTATTATTATTATTATTGTTATTATCATTATTATTATTACTATTATTATTATAATTATTATTATCATCATCATCATCATCATCATCACCATTATTTCTATTATCATTATTATTATTATTGTTATTATTATTATTAGTAGTAGTAGGATTGTTATCATTATTATCATTATTGTTCTCTATTTCATCTCAATTATTATGTTCTTAGTTCTATTTCATTGAAAGACAAAACCAAGTAGAGGCGAAGAAAAGGGAGTGGAGAAACAGATAGATAGAGATAGAAAGAGAGATAGATAGATGGAAATATAGAGATAGAGATAGGTAGATAGACGAATAGATAGAGATAGAGATAGATCGATAGACGGATAGATAGATATATAGCTAGATAGACAGATAGATAGAGAGATAGAGATAGATAGAGAGAGAGACAAGCAGACAGGAAGACAGAAAGAAAGAGAACGAGAGAGATACAGACAAACAGAAAGGGTAACGCATACACACACATACACATACACACACACACACACGCACACACACACACACACACACACACACACACACACACACACACACACACACACACACACACACACACACACACACAAAATGTAAATATTCATACACATATACATACATAAGCTCCCGCCCTACACACGAAGATGGCCAGATTGCCTCTCGCCCTCGACAGTGAATGGTCAATAAATCTGCTTTCTCTCTCATACTTTGAAGCGCCCCCCTCTCTCTTTCTTTCCCTCTCTCTCTCTCTCTCTCTCTCCTTCTCCGTCTCTCTCCCTCTCTCTCTCTCTCTCTCTCTCTCTCTCTCTCTCTCTCTCTCTCTCTCTCTCTCTCTCTCTCTCTCTCTCCTTCCGTCTCTCTTTCTCCTTCCCTCACGCTCTCTCTCTATTCTCTCTCTCTCTCTTTCTCCTTCTCTCTCTCTCTCCCCTTCTCTCTCTCTCTCCCTCCCTCCCTCAATCTTCCCCTCCCTCCCTCTATCTATTCCCCCCCCCCCCCCCCGCCGCCCCGATAGCACGCCGCCGCCCGCCCTCATAAATCACGAGGCGAAAGAGTGACTCGCGACGTCGCCAGAAGCAAGATTCGTGCTCTCGACGGCGACGCTGACGAAGGAAGACGAGCGAGAGAGGATGTCTTGGCTTGTCGGGGGCGTTTCCTTCGTCGGGCAATTTTTTTTTTGGGTTAATATGAAGGTAGTTTGTTGGGGCGTGTGGGGTGGGCGGGGTGAGGTGGGGGGGTGATTTTGTGTGGGGGAGGGATGGGAGGGGAGGTAAAGAGGTCGTATCTTTTTCTTTGGGGGGGGTTGAGTTGGGGGGAAGGGGTACTTTGCGTTTGTATTTGTTTCTCTTTTGTGTAGGATTAGCTTTTTTCTATTTATTTATTTATTTTTCTCTCTCTTCTTTTTCTTATTCTCTCTCTGTTTCTCTTGCTGTTTCATTCTCACTCTCTTGCTTTTATTCTCTCTCTCTATCTTTCTTTTATTCTCTCTCTCTCTCTATCTCTCTTTTATTCTTTTTTTCTTTTATTCTCCCTCTCTCTCTCTCTCTCTCTCTCTCTCTCTCTCTCATCCTTTATCTCCCCCCCTCCTCCTCTCCCCCCCATCCCCCCATCCCCTTCCCCTTCCTCCTCTCCCCCCCTCCCCTTCCCTCGGTGATGGATAACTAAAGAAAACTCGAAAGCAAATTGGGCCTAAACATCTCTCTCTCTCTCTCTCTCTCTCTCTCTCTCTCTCTCTCTCTCTCTCTTTATTCTGCGCTTCTTCTCTCTCCTTTTCTCTCTCTTCTCTTTCTCGTCCGTCGCTGCTTCCCCCATTCGTTCGGGCTTTATGAACGGCTGTTAAGACAGAATTTCTCATTTTCGGTTATTAAGCAGATACTCATGTGGGCTCATTAAAGGGAAGCGAGGGGGGGGGGGTACAGATAAGAAGGAAACATGTGTATGTATATGTATGTATGTATGTATGAATGTATGTATCAATATCTATCTATCTATCTATCTTTCTATCTATGTACCTATCTATATATGTGTGTGTGTGTATCTATCTATATATGTGTGTGTGTGTGTATCTATCTATCTAGCTACCTATCTATCTGTCTATCTATCTATATTTATACATATATATACACACGCACATATGCACACACACACCAATCCTCGTATTAATCGTAGGCAAAGCAGCAAAAGACGAGCCCGAGCTGCCGAAAAATCTTCCCATAAAACACCATTCCTGACTCATTTCATCGTGAGTGATCTAATGGACTGAAGTTTTCAAAACACGTGATTGCAATGGACGAGACGATGTGTTAATCAGTTGTTCAAGTATTATCTAGATTAGAGGAAGACATTAAAAAAAAGTTAACACTGGGATAACAATGGTGAAAGATAGTTAACAGAGGAACTACTTGATTTTTTGTTTTCTTTTCTTTATTGAAGTTTTTACTCTGACATTTTTATTTTTTCCTCAATTACTTTGTTTTCTGGTAGTAATGTCCTTGTCTTTAATTCGTTCGTTATTATTATCATTATTATTATTTATCATTATCATTATTATTTCATCATTATCATTAATACCATTGTTACTATTATTATTATTATTATTTCCATTATTATTATCATCGTTATCATCATCACACCATGAACATTATTTTACAGTATTATTAATATCCTTTTATTCCGTCATCACCACACTCTGTAATCTTGCAACTCCGACCGTACTTCTCCGTTTGATAAAGTGGGCCATCATTGATTGTTTGTGGCAGCCCCGGCATTGCTTTTCCTATACGCGTATATCTTTTCTATATCTGTATATCTATATCTGTCTAATTACTTATCTATATAGATGGTTATCTGTCTGTCTGTCTGCCTGTCTGCCTGTCTATCTATCTACTTATCTGTCTAATTATATACATATACATACACATACAAACACACACACATACACACACACACACACACACACACACACACACACACACACACACTGTCTGTCTGTGCATCTGTCTATCTGTGTGAGCGTAAGCGTATAAGCATATAGATAATAAGGCACTGAAATCAAAGGCATTATGGCAAAAGGAATCCCGGTTCATCCCTTAGGTTTTAACACCATTTTCGTGGAGGAACAATGGCTGCCTAATGACTTCACTTTTTGTATTTATGACAAGGTTTCCATCAATTATCTTCCTCCGCGTCTCAATC